AAAATACTTTAACTGATGCATGTGTGGCAATTCCGACTTTATCATCATTGTTCTATCTAGTTTCTGAAGAAAATAAAAACCTATAACCTTTCATCAGCATAATGAACTAACATTATACTTTCCTCATATCTATCTTTATATCACATTACTTTTCTCATATGTGTCTTTATACAAGAAGGAAAGTAATGTGATATGTGAATATTCTTGTATAAAGATACATATAAGGAAAGTAATGTGATATGTGAATATTATATGTGTTTTTATACAAGAATACATTACTATATATTCTAACGGCATAATACCTCACAATAAGTGCCTTCAGAACAAGAATATACTCCCATGTTACAATACGTTCCTAATTATTGTTTTCTATTAATAAATATATTCTTATGTCACAGTATTTTCCTAATAAACGTCTTTATACAACAATATACTAACTTTCTCAAGTTACAGTGTTTTCACTCGTCTAAAGAAACAGATATCTACATTTTCTGGAACATTTATTATTAAAGTGTTTTACACAAATATCCTTCCAATGTTTGATTCTAACTATTATTACTATGAATAATTTTGAAATAATAAACACACTTATCACATTGTAAAATGATCAGCGTTTGATGACTCATTAAAAATATCCATTCTTCCTTTTTTTAGTAGAAAAACGTTTACTAAAACAGAAAAGGATTTAAAACACTGAAAATAAAAACCAAACTTTATAAAATTTGAAATGTTTTAAATAAGAAACGATTGTAATACTCACTGAGCTACCAACTTCGACGTCTTCACACATGTTTCCTTCTCTGACAAACAGAAATATCACTTAAAGCACAAGACATTCATTATTTACTAAATGACATGCCACTAATTATTTTAAAGGATATGTAAGAAACTTTTTAAAAACTGAGTGATTATGAGTTTTAATAAATATTTGACTAATACAGACAACTGTAAACAAGTGTTGTAATATCAGGAATATAATTGCAGTTTGTTAGAGAATACTGCTGTACAAAATGTCAATTAAAACTTTCCTGAGTTTATTTAAAAAAATCAAGTTTTCTCTAAAGACAACTTCTTTTTGCAAGATCCTAGTGCGTGAAGACAAACTAACTGCCGTTAAGTATGTTTCTGGAACGTGGGCAAAATAAATGGAGAACTGGGTGTGGTTATTTGGGGTTTGTGTTATCGAATATATAATTTATTATACAAAATTTTCTCTCCGTCTTTAGTTTTGGTCGTAATATTCCCTTCATATTAACTATGTTCGGAACTAATCGGTAAAATATGCAATGTTTGTCTGGAGTATATTAATATTGGTGGATTAAAAATGCGATCTCACGATCTTTTTGGTATATCTCATTCATTTATACAGATATCTCGGTATAAGTAGGAAGTTTAGTAGCAAAAAGACTAAAGTTTTTTCCGATGCAACTGTTTTAGACATTTAATAATAAGTGAGTCATGAAAGTGTTTTTGTTTGTTGTTGTTATTGTTTTTTTTGTAAAATGCAGCAACTATTTTCATTGAGAAGATAATTATAAGTAGTTCAGAACTACCTCAAAATGTTTGCTAGCTTTTAATAGTGTATTAGAGATATAATACGACATATGGAAAAAGTCCTAACTCTATAAAATAAAGTCGTAATAAAATTTTTGAAACGCTGTAATAACAGTTTCACGTTTTAATTCTAACTTGTAAAAAAGAAAACCATGATCGTGAATATGATTCTTAATTCTATGAACACACAATAAAGGGAATTCTTCGTGGTAAGATAATCTCGATAATTATTTTTGGTTTCTGTAGCAGAGAATCAATGTGATGATAGGTATAAAGACCAGAATGTTATAAGATATGTCATTTGTTAAACAAATACTCACTTGCAGTTGGAAGAGAATGTGATCTCAATGTTATCTGGAGCATTGGATTTAAGCTCCACAACCGAGCGGATTTTCTGTTTGTGCGAAATCAAATGAAAACAAAAGAATGTTATACAAATAATAGTTTATTTTATACACCTAAGGATTTAGAAATAAAACATGTAATATGCAATTAATGAAATAAGTTTAGAAATTTTTGTCTGCAAACTGAAATTTGCTTATTGCTTCCGAAAGAGAGCTGAATAATTCTAGGCTTTAGTAGTTGCCAGATGATTTTGCCTGCCAACAGAGCATTAGAATCATTTGTATCTACAATAAATAATATTACAACTACCACCAATGCGGAACAAAAAGTCTAGTAATTTTTCTATAAGTTAGCAGCACCCACTGTCTACACGAATAGTGGATTGACTGTTAATTTTAAAACAGCTAGCATCGTTTCATAGGTTTTATATGGTGTATACATGCATACGCACATTTGTATACATATTTATATATCCATAAATTTCCGTGTTTAAATTTCTACATAATTTTTTATGTTCTAATTCACTTGTGGTTTCTTCCCCAAGCTGTTTACATTGTATTCTTACTTCCACTATATAGTAAGGTGTAAAGCCAAGTTTGGCTCTACTTATTAGACTGCAGATCCGAAAGCCATGGGTTCGAGTTTGCTATATACTACCGTTTGGTTTGTTTCAATAATTTGCTAAAGCTACACAAGGGGTAGCTGCATTAGCCTTTCCTAATTTTGATCTGATAGATTAAGGAGAAGGCTGCTAGTCAGCAAAACGTACCGCCAACTATTTGGCTACTGCAATCGAATAGTAGGATTTGATCTTCTTTTTCATAACGCACCGACAGCCCCAAAGCGCGGAGCGTGTTTTTAAGGCATCGTGTCGCTTTTTGTAGATCTTCAGATTCGCAGTATAGGCCATGCCCGAATTCATTTGATCCTAAATACGCTCCGTAATGTCGGCAAAACGTATTAATCCATTTATAAATATATAGATATACATTAACATTTAATTACACTTTAAACAGTATGGCGTTTCTAACCTTAACTATGCTATTATTAGTTTACAGCTTGCGAATGAATCTCTTTATTAATGAATATCATACACCATAGATCAAGATGAATATAAGTTCAAATATCACGGATGTAAATAGAAAACTATCTTTCACGGAAAAACGTAATGATTTCCTTGCAGTGTGTGTTTTTCTCACACAAAATCTAAAGCCTTAGAAATTAAAACAAAATTTATACTGTGTAATTCTTAATGCTGGCAACGCACGATTTACTTTAGTGAAATGAAGATAATGAAATACAATCTATGTTTTATCATACTAGCAGTCCATGTTTATTAAACGACTGATATAAATGACGTTTTAACTAAAACTGTTGCGTTTGTAACACAAACAGCATGATAATCTTTCTGGTCATAAACAGAAGGTATTGTCAGCTTTAACATACAACAATAGCATGCTGTTTCTACTGTTTTAAATTTAAGAATACGTTAAACAGTCGCTAATTATTTTATATTTTTATTTTAAGAAAATGAAGTTTAGAGCTAGCGCTTTTCGTCAGATCGTACAGCTTATAAATTATATTTCTTTTTATAAAACTACTGTTTTTAATAAACACTTGAATTGGAAACTCATGAACAAAGCCTTAAAAACATTATCATTGTTACTGTGAACGATTTAAATTTGGTTCAGGATTAAAAAGGGCATTAGATAGTTTTAATTTTTGGAACACGCAGATATCATAGAAAACGATCTTATCAAGCTGCATCTCAAAAACCAAATAAATAAATACATAATATGCAGTCAACTCACACGATATTGTTCTCGTAACAAATCCACGATGTTTGAAGAATCACTTTCTAGCACCCCTGTAACCGCTCCTTCCAGTAACCCCGATAAACTTTCGTATTCGTGCGCAACAGGTTTCAAAACAGCAAATACAACAATGACTTTATTCCGGGATAGTTGATTGTTGAGCTGCTCAACAGACGGATAGTCCTGAAACATACCAAACTTAGTTGATCACAGTATTTACATATATAATAAACAAGATAAATAAAAAATGGGAATTTAAAAAACTGCAAATAAGGATCGTAAACAAGTAAGGAAACAACGGTGGAGATACTGTAGACATTATTTACTCAAACTTCAAACCCCTATTTTGGTTCCATGATGTTATCTAAAATAAAAAAGATTAAACCTATTTTACAATACGAAATGACCAACAGAAGCTCTTAGAAATATCTAAACTATCTAACTGATTTCCAGATGAACTCGAACAGCCAACTAAATTATTCAAATACTTACTCTTCATTTTCAAAACGACTCAAAAGTACAGAGTATTAATTATTAGCGTAAACCTAATGAGGTTCACGTTAAAGAAACAGTGACATATTAAACAAGACGTGTGTCCTTATATTGTGTGTATGAAGTATCTTCTGAGTGTCTGAGAGTGGGGAATGACAAATACAGATCGATGTACCACATATATTTTCATAGACAATCTTAGTAGAGTTGATGCTTTAGACATTAAAAACAATAAAAGGTAACTTACCTGCTCACTCATGTAACTACTAAGTAAATGAATAAAAAAAAGTCTCGCTGGGCGAAGATGACTATAATAAACTGTAATATTTTAAAAATTTAAAGCTAAAATATAGATATTAGGTCTAACATTGATGTCATTACATATCACTATTAATTTCAATAGAAATTCCAACCCCATTACAATCAAAGGAGCAAATCGAAAATAATATAAATAACTAGGTAAGATAACAAAGGAAAGAACACCAAAGTATGTGCGAGTTAATTGAGTTTCATGGATCTGATTATTTGTTGTTAAACAGAAAGCTACACAATAGGCTATATGTGCTGTGCCCATCACAGGTATCAAAACTCGATTTTTAACGTTATAAGCTTTCAGACTTACCGCTAAGCCACTAGGGGGGTATGAATCAGAAAACTTAATTGCTACGCTAGATAGTTGATCAAATATAGAAACAGACTCCTACTTCAGTATTATTAAATACTCAAGTAGGTTAGTTTGTTACAGGAACGTTCTATTGAGTTTAACTGACAAACACCATGTTTCCAGGTAGATTAGAATGTAATAAACTGTGGTTTGCAAGAAAGATGGATCTCAATATAAGGGGTGGGAGGTTATCTAGGTAAGGATCACTGGTAGGTATATTTTCGATACGAGGGAATGCCAAGATGGATAGTGTAGGGTTTCAAGCAGATTTACTTACAATAAAAAGTCTTTTAGGCAAGCATCTGTTCAATACATGGGAATGTCAAGGTGAGTTTGATTGACAAACATGAAGTTTCTAGGTTCATTTGATGGTAACAAACGCGGTTTCCACGAAGTTAACTATCACTACAAGACGTCTAGCTGACTTTTGACTTAATGAATACAGAGTGTTTTGGTTGGTCTATACGCAACGAGTAGAAATTTTCAGATGACTATGTTTCAACACCCTGAAGTGTTCACTTATAACTGAGATATAACGAGTTTTCGGGTATTTTTTATTTTATTTTTTAGATACGCCAGAGTCTCCAAGAAATTTACTAACATGCAAGGAAAGCCTGTCATGGTCTAGTGATTTGCATGACGGGCTGCTGATCTGAAGGTCCGATATAAAATTATGCTAAACACGCTCCACACTTCCAGTTTTGAGCGTGTTATAAAAATTACAGTTTTTATCTTTGGTTCCCAGATCAAGTCAGAAGATTCCTTGTGGCGGCGGGTACTTCTAACTGATTGCATTCCCTCTAGTCATCACTTTAAGCATAGTGACGGCTATAGCAGAACCTCAAGGGTCACTTGTACGTGTAAGGTGCCATTCAGATTGAAAATACAAATTACCAACACTCAATAGGCATAATAAAAATATACACGCTAAAACTTCAACAGCAACAGAGTTTTACTTTAAAGGATGATTGCCATTTAATTTTATTTCTTTCTTTACCCAACAAGTCCAAAATCAAGGTCAGAAACCATCGTTAAGATACCAAACCATATCATCATATGTGAAATGATACGCCTTTGTAGAGCAGTAAGCAAAACACGAAGAGACAAAAGCAGAAATGAACTCATCAAAGATATCAGTTTAAAAAACACAGAAAAACGAATCAGATGATTTGATCACCTAACACACATGGCCCTAAACAATCAGCAGCAAGAGTCTGAAACAACCGAATCTCAGGAAACAGAGGAAGAGGGACGTCATGAAAGCCATGGTTTCTCAAACCCGTATCAATATGACATCACCATCACAGAGGCTACCAGAAGGAAAGATTAAATATTCTTGCAAAACTGGCAGGAGTAAGCAGCAGATGAAGTAACACAAGCAGGCGGAAGCACTGCCTATGTAGGGATGGCTCGGATTGTTCATCGAAATGGTATTTTATATATGTCTCCTTAATTGGTCATCAGAACTTTACAATACTATACAGTGTTTCCTTTTATAACAATATCTATGTAATGACTGAGTCACAAGTTCAGGGAACGTCTGTAAATATCATAGCAAAAAGTTTGAATTTCTTGTTTTTTTCTTCTGTTTATTTTTATTATATGATTACTTTAAAACCAAAACAATGGTACCAACCCATTTCACTGAGATGGCATAGTTTCAAACGGACTATTCGCTTTTATAACTATTATTAATAACTAGTAGTAATTTAAAAAAATC